ATATATGTATATGTATACGTATATACATACACATATGTACACATCCAGACATATGCAGGTGTGTATACGTCGTATCCAGCCACGAGTAGTGAGACATTTACTTTGTTCAGAGTAGTCAACAACAAGCATTAGTTGCAACTTACAAAGCACATATATATATATATATATACACACTGAATAAAATGTAATGTAAACCTTATAATATAACATAATAAAACGGAATACAACATAACACCATGTATCATAATCTGACATAATATAGCATAGCAAAACCTTTTATAATATACTAGTCGTTCATCGGAATGGAAACATCAGGATAAGATCAACAATGTAGTGCAACATCACATAATATGTCTACGCCTAAGACAATACAGTATGCAGTGAGATACTACACATCATGAAATCAGTAGTAGTATAAGTAGTAATATAATACAGCAGAATATAATAAGTTATACTTCAGTTTAACAAATATAGTTTAATACAGCAATTATGTTATAACAAAATGTAACAACATGTTTGGTGTAGTGATGTAGTATATTGTAATGTGATATAATGCACTATACTATAACAAGACATGTTGCAATCGAGTGAATGTTTTGATATTACAACAAAATGTATTATTCTGCATTAGAGCATGATATAATCGAAGGTAAGCCAAGATAAGACACGAGAACATCACATCATACCATATAGCATAACATAACATGGCAGTTATCTGTATATGTGTCAGTATACATACATATGTATATATATATATATGCATACATGTTCTATATATATGTATATATATATATATATGTACAACTGTTACCAGAATCACAGAAACACATGTATAATTTATTCGAATATGTTGTGGCATAAATCAGTACAATTATACGACAATATAACATCATATACTCTAATATGTCATATGAAATTTGTACTCATTTTCTAGGGCATGATATAAGTTAATGAAACACAACAACATAACATAGGTTACTTCTGGATAATGGAAGGGACTAGAAGGCTAACGTAATAAGATATGATGTGTTATAATACAATGCAAGAAAATAGCATGTAATGCAACATGATATGTCATGTTATTGCACAGTATAGATATAATGAAACATGGTGTAACATGCTACAATTTAGTTCAGTATAGTATATCGTATAATACAACATAACATAGTACAGCCTAATATAGCCAGTTGTAGCGTGTAGTTACATATATGTATGCATGTAGGTGTGTATGTATATATATATATATATACACATATGTATAGAGACATGTTTACACACACACACACATCTGCATGCATATAGAAATCTAGATATAATATACACATTGATATAATCGCTATATGCCTCTATTCGACACCCTGGGCACCCTGGCTGTCTGTAGCACCGGCCCGGCCCAGGAACTTGGCGCAGCGCGCGGCCCAAGAGCTCGAACGCCAGGTCGCTGTCCGAGGTTTGACTTTTTGCTTTTTCAAGGATTGCACAGGGTGATATGGTGTTGTTTAGGAGGTTTCGAGGGGTTTTACAGGAGTTTTCATAAGGTTGCATAGGATGTTATAGGTTTTGTTGAGGGTGTCCCTCAATAGGGATCCAGGAGGATTCGACGAGGGGTTTCGGGCTTTGGGTCGGTGGGTTCTGGGGTTTAGGCTTTTGGCTTTTGAGGATTTGTCTTCGAGGTTTTGGCTGTTCCAGGATTCTGGTGTCTTATGGGGTTCTGTGGTTCTAGGGTTTTGGGCTGTGGATTCTAAGCTTTTCGGTTTTGAGGTATTGGGGGTGCTCTGCTTGCAATGAATTACTAGGTCGTGGGCCTTTTCTTTCTCTTTTTTTGAACTCTCAGGTTCCTTTTAAGGTACCCACTACTTAAAGGATCATAAGAGCTAGTAAGCTAGTACGTAAGGTTATAAGTCCCCTAGTTGGGGTTCTAAGTCTAGTTACCTGAGTTATAGCCCTACTTACTAAGTCCCATAAGCCTTTAAGTACCGATTAGGGAGCCCTTTTTGATCCTGGGTTGCTTGGCATCCTAGATAAACTTTGGGGATTTGAGAGTTTGTCTGTGAGGTCTCAGGTTTTGGGTCATGCGGCCAAGTCTTGGAAAAGGGCAGGGTTTAGGGTTTATGGATAAGGCTACATATCTTCTAATATCGAGTTTAGGGATGAGGGTACAACCAAAACCCTAAACCCTAAACCCTAAACTCCTAAACCCTAAACCCTAAACCCCACAGGGCCTACGCCTTACGATGTCGAGTTTCAAGATAAGGGGGATGACAGGTCTAATGGGTTGAGTGGAAAGGCGTCAGGGCTCGGAGAGTTGGGCGTTCAGCTTGAGGATTTCGGGTTTAGGATTGAGCAAAGGTGCTGACTAATTACGTACGCAGTCAGGGACCTCGCCCGGATGATGTTTAACCCGTCCGCCAGGTTTTCTGCAGACGACACCGTCAACCCTAAACCCTAAACCCAGGACAAGAAGACTCTGAAAAACCAATCACCCGGGTATTCTCCGTCTAAAACTGAAAGCCCCGGGCGCTGCTGGAGGGAAGGCCGAACAATCGCAGGGTAGCGAATAGCGCCTAGATGATTTCCAATCCTGAAATCTGCTTACTTACCATCCTGCCTCTCTATACCCGAAGCCTTTTTTTCCTTTTACTTGCTTCTGTTTGATGACAATCAGTTAAGGCGGTTAAGGTTTAGTGGTTTGGAGTTGAGGGTTTTGGGTTCAGGGATGAAGGTTTATGGCTTTGGAGTTTAGGGGGTTTGGAGTTTCGGGTTTGGAGCTGAGGGTTAAGGGTTTAGGGTTGAAGCCCTAAGACTAAGTCTCGAAATCTTGGTCTTACAACTGCCCTCATCCCGAAACCCAAAAGCGGCACTGGAACTTCAGCTTTCCCAAGGCCGTCGCGCTCGCCCAAGGGGGCATGAAGATGGAGATTACTGTGCAGCTCGTGGCCTGGATCCTTCCAAGGTGTAGGGATTTAGGCCTTCAGGGTTTAGGGGTTTAGGCCTGTAGGGTTTAGGGTTTAGGGGTTTAGGGTTTAGGGTTTAGGGGTTTAGGCCTTTAGGGTTTAGGGTTTAGATGGTAGGACTTATATAATTAGCGAAGAAGCTGAATGAGTACTTTACACTCTGTGGGATAGTAGAATCCTGGACAGAACTGAAAATTTGATTTCTTGGGGCTTCTGAACTCAGCATATCTATGAGGAATATTACAACTACAAGATCAGGGGAACCATTCGGGCTATTGCAAGGGCTACTACAAAGGTTCCTATGTGGGTTTCTATTACTCTTGGCTTGGAGTTTAAATCTTTCGGATGCCTCGTCACATCGCTTCAATGTCATCTTCCCTCCGAGCCCTAAACCCTAAACGTCTACTTTATACTCAAGTCCTAAACCGCGAAGAAAGAGTTCTATACCTGAACCTATACCACCCAAAGTAGGTACAATACTGGCCCAACTACCGTAAGCATCTACTATTCTACATACTTGTGGGGTCAGGTACACCCTAATAACCAGGAGCCCTAAACCCCAAACCCCAAACCCTTAAACCTTAAACCCTAAACCCAAAATCCTACACCCGGGGTCCAGGCAAAACCTAAGCTGAAAGCCCTTCGGGTAAAAAGTTCTCTAAATTAGGACCCAAAATGTCCCCTGAAGGAACCTTAAACGGGAGCCTAGTTTTTAGAAAACTACCCAGGTGGAGCCCTTATAGAAATCAGAACCCCCTTATAAATCCCTTGAAGGAACCCTACAAGTGACCCTAAACCCTAAACCCTAAACCCTAAACCCCCTTAAAAGGGACCCGAATTGAGAAAACATACCCAGGTGGAGATCTACAACGACCAACTGAGGGATCTCCTTGCAGCAGACTCGGGCAGCTCGGCAATGGGTTTCGGGTTTTAGGGTTTAGTGTGTAGGGTTTAGGGCTTTAGGGTTTAGGGTTTAGGGTTTAGTGTTTAGGGTTTAGGGTTTAGTGTTTAGGGGTTTAGGGTTTTTGCCGCTAATGGCATCGGGACGTCCAGAAGCTCCATGACGTAGGGGTCCACTACCAATAACACTTCATGTAGGGGCCTGAATAATTACCTATACTATTTTGGGGTTTCCTTACTATAAGCAAAGTATATCGGACTCCAAACCCCTAATCTAATTATTCAAGCCCCTACATTACGAATGATGCCAGCCCTATTGAGCTTGCCGGTGAGCTCGCCTGGACGCTGACCACACTGACGAATGAAGCCCAAACCCTAAACCATTAAAGATCCCCTACAGGATCCCCTAAAGAAATCCTTACAAAGGATCCTCTGAAGGATCCCCCCCAACAGGGATCCCTTAAAGGATCTTTTAAGGGAGCCCTAAACCCGAATCCCCTCAACCCTAAACCCTATACCTTAAACCCTATACCCTAAACCCTAAACCCTAAAGCTTAAACCCTCAACCCTAACGTTAAAGGCGGCTCGGCGAAACGTCTCCGACTCTCCGTCTGCAGCTCGGGCAGCGCGCTGCTCGGCGCACGGCCCCTCGGCGGCGCTGTGTCTCTTGGGATTTCCTTTTAAGGGAGGGCCTTAGGGTTTAGAGTTTGGAGTTGAGGGTTTAGGGTTTAGGGTTTAAGGTTTAGAGTTTAGGGTTCAAGTTTAGGGTTTAGAGTTTAGGGTTTAGAGTTTAGGGTTTAGGGTTTAGGGTGTAGGGTTTAGGGTTTAGGATTTAGGGTTTAGGGTTTAGGGGAGACCTGACAAGAGCTTCTTTAAGTCCTTGGAGGGACCTCTAACGGGGGCTTAGGGTTTGGTTTTTGGAGTTTAGGGCTTCAATAGGGTTTATAGGGGTGTTAAGTTTTTGGAGTTTAGGGCTTAATTAGGGTTTAGGGCTTAGGGTTTAGAGTTTAGGGTTGAGGTTTAGGGTTTAGGATTTAGGGTTTAGGATTTAGGGTTTAGAGTTTAGGGTTTAGAGTTTCGGGTTTAGGGTTTAGGGTTTAGGGTGTAGGGGTTTGGGTTTAGAGTTTGAGAGTTTAGGGTTTAGGCTTTAGGGGAGACCTGAAAAGAGCTTCTTTAAATCCTTGAAGGGACCTCTACGGGGTTTTGGGCTCAGCGTTTGTTTTTGGAGTTTAGGCCTTAATTAGGGTTTATAGGGTTGTTAATGATTGGAATGGGGTTTCTGGGGGAATGTGCTACTCTACTTGTATTGAGACTTGCATGGCTCCCGCGAGGGTTCCTACCCGGGGCTGTTATAAACGGCTACTTTCAGGTTTAAGTTAGGGTTGAGGGTAGGAGGGCTTTGAGGTTTTTAGGATCGATCGTTTAAGAGTTTTTGAAAGTTCTCGAATCAGGTTTCTATCCTAAACCCTAAACCCTAAACCCTAAACCCTAAACCCTAAACCCTAAACCCTAAACCCTAAACCCTAAACCCTAAACCTTAAATAAACCCTGAGTTTCACAAGGGGGCTTCATAGAGGTTCTAGAAGGCTCTGGGGCCCAGAAATTTCCTAAGCCTTGCAATCAACAAGTACGCCTTTGAGGTTTAGGGCTTAGGCTTTTAGGGTTTAGGGTTTAGTAAGGGTTTAGGGTTTAGGGTTTAGGGTTTGGGGTTTAAGCTTCAGGGTTTAGGGAGTATATGAGGGTTTAGGGCTTAGGGTTTAGAGCTTCTAGGGTTTAGGGTAACGGTTTGGGTTAAGGGTTTAGGGTGTATATTAAGGTTCCCTCTTTCGTATAAGGTGCACTGCTACTCAATGCAGGGGGTTGTCGGAAGTGATTTAATTTCAGATGCGGCTTGTTTTGACTTTTGGTTGAGTGTGATGTAACTCCTCAGTTTTGCGAGTTTTAGGGTTTAGGGTTTTGGGTTTGTAGCTTCGGGCTCAGGCTTTGGGTTTGGGTGCAACGGAATTGAAACCCTCTAATCCCCTAAACCCCTTAGCCCCAAACCCGACACCCTAAACCCTTAAGCTGCAAACCCCAAACCCCAAACCGTAAATCCTACACCCCTAAAGCCCAAACAAACCCTACACCCTAAACCCCTAAAGCCCAAACCCTACTCCCTAAACCCCTAAACCCCAAAAACCCAAACCCTAAACCCTACACCCTATACCCTACACCCTAAACCCCTAAACCCCAAACCCTAAATCCTACACCCTAACCCCCTAAACCCC